AGGAGAATCCCGACAAACGCCTTCGGAGGTAGCCTGCACTGGGAGCTTCACCTTGAAAGAAAGTTGCTGCTGAGGTCACACACTTCACCTTGTCCTCTGCCGAGTGAAGCACTTCCCAGTTTTTCCCTCAGACGTTTCCCTATCAAGACAATCTGTAGATCTCCCTCCAGTCGGCACATTGGCTGCAAAGATAATGTAGGTATTTTCAGTCAGCCCGGAGCAGGAAAGATAAGGGGGGGAGAGTCGGGGAAAACTTGATTGAGTGACCGAGATAAATGGACTGTACCACAGGAAATTGAAATGCAAAAATAAGAATTGGGAGCAACTGAAATATTTAAAAAGAGAATAACGGGCGTGTGAACGGAGCAGCCTTACCCCTTCCTCGCCTGAGCTCCTAAATATTGCAAAAGAGAATAGAGTGGAGAGAATCTCAGAATAGAAACTAGCCCTTAAGGGAGACAGAATGACAGGGTTTGACTTACAAATGGGATGATAATTAAGAAAGGAGGAGAAATAAGAGGGGCTTGCGGTTTGATTCTTTGCCTCTGGTCTCACTTAAGTTATGTGTCCGAGAGAACGTGTCCCTGGGTTGTGGTTCTGCCGTCCAGAGGCCTTTCTCTGGCCCTCCCTCTGGAGGGGACGTGAGGGAGCTGAGCGCTGGGCCTTCTTGGTGGAGAGGCTCGAGGGGTGTGTATCCATTAGAAGCACGGCTCTGGAGACAACAGGCCCCATGGTATTCGAGCAGCTTATGTAAAACAGGCATTTGCTTCTCCTACATCACTGTTCGGAGGTCAGTCTTCCACACAAACAGACTCGAGTTCCTGCCACCAGGTCTTGGTTTTGTCCACAGTGGTGAGGCTGGGCTGCCTGGTTCAGGCCACAGGCAAAGGGAAAGAGTACAGACAAGATACATTCTTGTATCCCAAGGCTCAGGCTAGGACCTGGTGCCCCTTGATAAAATGTGGGCCCCTCCCACTCCCCTGTCCTGGGCTGCAGGAGGCCAGAATGCTCATTGTGGAGGGGAAGCATTTCTGCCCGGAGTCACCCTTTTTTATCCTCCCAAACAGAGAGTGAAAGCTAGTGGGAAAGGATGCTAGAGCACCCGCATGGGACAGGGCTAGCTGGAGCTCCTGCCTGGGCCCTTCAGCTCAGCAGGAGAGGGAAGAGCGCAGAGCAGCCCGTTCTGTCCGCCCACCTGAGGGGTTGTCTCTGGCACAGGCAGGACAGGGGCTGGGGGCTTGGTGCCCATCTGCTCTTCCTCAGGGCACTGGCCATGGTTCACACGGGTGCTGACTGTCAAGCTAAGGCAGCGGCTCAGGAGCTAGGGAACTGGTCTTCCCAGCGTCTGTCCCCCAGCACAGCCACCTCCTCAATCAATAGGCGCACAACCGGGCAAGCCAGATCTAATGACTTCAGCCCTCGCAAACAGAACCTAATTCCCCTCTCTGTTTTTAAGGATAAAAATCTATGCATAAAACGCCTGAATGATTCAGAGGGCACGGGAGAGCTTATCTGCTTATTCCTTCATATCATCAGCTTGGCATTTCTCGAAACAATGAAACTATTTTCTTTCTTTAGACATGAAACATGGCCTCAGAGACCTTGCCTTGCAATCAGAAGACTGGGGCTCCCTCAGGGGCTCCATAGAACTCATCCTGGCTGCAAAGGGTTCTCTCCTCAAGGCCTTTCTCCTGTGCAACCTGGGAGCAGGCTGAGTGTGCATGGCTCAGGAATTTGCAAGAAACAATGTGTTTATACTGGAAGAGTACTCTAATATTCTAAAGGTAGTGGCTACTCCGACTGCCCGCCTGGATCCCACGGTTCAGGCTGCTGATGTAAACCCAGAGCTCGACATCCAACTCGCTCCTGCTGAAATCTGTAGTCTTACGTAGACACAAAGTCTAGAAGAAACCTATGCCCAAGTTCCAAGAGTACACCTCGTCTCCTCCCTGTCCTGGTTAGTCCAGTCTCTTGTCAGGACACTTTCTCGTGAATCTGAACATTTTGAAATTCTTCTTTCTTTTTAAAAGATAGAGGTTGGGGGCACCTGGGTGGCTCAGTCGGTTAAGCATCTGCCTTTGGCTCAGGCCATGATCCCAGGTCCTGGGATCGAGCCCCACATTGAGCCTTGTATCGAGCCCCGCATGGAGCCCCACATTGGGCTCCTGATAGAGTTTATTTTCCATTCTCTGGATAAGTAATGTAGTTCAGTATGAAAAAGAGACAATACAGAGTGACCAGGTGATTGAATGAACTGGGCTTGGTAGGGTGTGAGGAGGAAGCAAAGTTCTTCTTCCCCCCACTGTCCCTGCACAGTGGCTCTGAGGATTCGTTTCCCCTTACTCCTGCTTTTTGGATACTCCCAGGTATTAATGGAAAGTCTCATTTCTTCCAATAATAAACTGTCAGTCAAGTCCAGTCTCCCACGAAACTCTTGTGCAACCTGTTGCTTTTCCTCTCTAGTTTGGCCTGGGGGAGCAGGATGTGGTCAGCTCCTTCTCTGTTTTCTCCCTGCTCTTCCCTCTCTCCTGCCTTGGTGGGCTGTCTCTGACTCGGTCCGTGTGGATGAAGAGTGGGGCAGGGATTTAAGGGTCTGGCTAGGTCTTGGTTGACCAGAACAGGTGTCACATGGTGTCCTCTGGGTTGTGTTTCTCTTTTGGGTTCTTTGAGGACACCAGCTCCCCAGAGACCAGGGTCCCAGAGCAAATATCAGATGATGTCTAAGAGAGTACCCCAAGGGCCAAAGCTGGCAGCCCGTGGGCAGGGATGGTGATCCAAGAAGCCGGTCTTAGCTAGGGAGACAAGCTGATTGGCAAGCCACGAGAGGTGGGGACAGGCAAAGGAGAGGGGAGTCCAGTTCCATGTGGGAGATTGTTCCTGTTGAGCCCGGGCTAGAGGTGGATTATATAGGCCGCACAGCCTTTTTTTTATAAAGGGACCAGGCTGGAGGAACGGCATGTTGCCCATCTCATCAAGGTCATTGCCTTCATTGTTGCCAAGACTATCATCATCAACAACAGCATCCTAAAAGGTGGGGAAGGATGAGATTCTTTGTGGAGTCAGGAGACCCCTTGGGGGACCACCTGGATTAAATGTGGCTATTTCTTATCTTCTTCCTCTGCCTGCTAAGGAAAGGAAACGTTTGGGCCCCCACTACTCTGCAACGTGTTCTCCTTAGAGGACAGTGCGTAGGAGGCCTCTTTCTGTTAGTGTCCCAGGGTGGGGCCTGTCTCATACCTCTTCTTCTCCACCCCCTTCTCCCTGTAAACCAGGGAGGAAATCAACACAGAAACTCGTCATCCATTTGTAAGCCTAACTCACATTTTACCTGTTGTTAAAAAGGCAAGAATGTGTCTCATCTTGCATTGTCTTCTCGAAACTTTCCACTCGGTCAAGTCTAGGCTCTTCCCAAAGCTTTGAGTCTCAGATAGCAGAAAACCCCAACTTTCCAGAGATATTTACTCCTCTCGATTCAGATTTTTTTTTTCTTTCTCTTTCTCACCCAAATTGTCCAGGGGACAAGAGGAGGGGTGGGTTAGGAAAGAGACAGATCCATCTAAAATGTTGAGGCTGATGGCTAATGGCCTTTAGATTGCCAAGATTGAGTAAACAGATTTAGGACACTGATTCAACATATTAATTGTTTGTTAACCTTTGCATAACCTTTAGGAAGCCTCTGAATGTGTGGATTTAAAACCCAGAGTACACCCGAGGTATTCCCATGGCACAGCCCACTTTTGCAAGGTGTTAAAACGCATTAATTTTCTGTTGAAGCCGGACAGGAAAGGGGAGTTTGGAGGAACAAAGCATACCAAGTAGAGAACTAATCAAGCAAATTAATGTATGCAGAAAGCTCTCTCCTCGGCTTGCAGAAATATCCATTTGTTACCTATATAAGCTATAATTACATAAAACGCGAGCCATCGCGAGATGGAGTGTGATTTAAGGGTTGAGAGAACAAACATAATAACAACAGCGTAATACTAATAGCCATCATTTGCTCTAATGATGTCAGCCCTTGGCTAACGCCCCTGTTTTGGCTCTCTGAGCATGTTGGCCATATTCATTAATATGTGAGGGTGTGAGGGTCACTCAGAACCATCCCCCTCTCCCCTCAGGTGGAGAGGAGACACCAGAGCTGGGAAGAGGTGGAGGAATCCCACTGCCCACCTCACTCCCCTGCCTCCTGTGTCCAGGCAAGTTCTGAGTTGGAGGGGACCTGCCCTCCCAGGGGCAGGCAGGCCGGGCCTGGTTCTGTGATCTAACGAGAAGAACGGACCACCAGTGGTCTTCTAGTAAACACTCTTCAGGGTAGGAGACATCCTAGGAGGCCCTCAGATCCGTCTTCTGGTCTGTAGCTGCCAGACTTTCAATGAATTCTGTCCCTTGCCCTGTCCTTTGAGTCCTGGGGAGACATTGATTTGTTGGGTCCCCTGGGTGCTTTGGGGTGACGTCCGAGTGTCTGAGACTGTCTTTCTTCTCTTCCAATCTATGTCCCACCCCATGCAATCTAATTTGGCCTCAGTCCCTCCTTCCTAGCAGACTTGAGGCTATAAGTCCTCCCCCAAGGACGGGTGTTAGTCCTTTATCCTGCATCTCACGGATGTTAGGGTGTATAGCCAGCCATCATGGGATTGCTTTTGTTGAGGATAGTCCTTTGGAGTCTCGAAGGGAGGCCGCCGCAGGTCAGATCAGTTCCAGATCCCTCTGGCTGTCATTCATTCTGATGGCAATTCCACTTTTCTGAGCGAGCCAGGCACGGACTCCGGCCACTTTCTCTGTGCCGACGGCATGAGCGGCCTGCAGCCCCTGACTGTCCCCTGCAGACCCGTTTTCTCCCCACCGCCTTCCCCCACCCCTGTCTTGGGCCAGTCCCACCCTGCACGCACACCCACTCCTGTAAGCAGTTGTGTAAAACCTGGCTCGGCCACTGTTGGAGCCCATTTCCTAGGGTGTTTTGTTTTGTTTTGTTTTCCCGGTATTTCGTCTGCTGCAAAAAGAGTGTTTGAACAAGATGACTCTAAGGTGGCTTCCAGGACACAGATGAAGAGGGAAGAGAACATGTGGGTCCCGGGCCTTACAAGGGTCTACGGTGGCCTCCCTCCCTGTGGCCTGCCTGCTCCCTGCCCTGGAAGCAAGAAGCCTGCCCCCATCTGAACAGGACGCCATGAGGCAGTGGGGTCCTCAGGTCCTCCACGCAAGCCTTCCTGACCTGGGGCCGTGAGCCCAGCCACGCCCAGCTAGCATCCCGCAGACATCCCTGCTGCGGCCCGTCTCTCCCCCGACCCGCCACACACCCGAGCCACACCATCCTCTCTTCTTTGTACAGTCCTGGCTTTTGAGCTGCTCAGGCCTCCTGCAGACTGAGTCCCTCTGAGGATGACCTTGCCAGCAGAAGTGATGGAGAGCTACCCTCTTCTTAAAGCTCTGCCCTGCCTCTTGGTTAGAAGCAAAGCCAACAGCAACAATCAAGACTGAAAAACCAAAAACGTTTTATTAGAATTAACGTCACCTGTCTTGTTTTCCTTTTTAATATGACTCCTAAATGATCTTAAACTACATACTTGGTTATTGTACATCTCGAACATCCTGGGTCTCGAGACTCAGAATCACCTTCTGCCTGGGCCACTTCCCTGCTGAGCATCTCTAGAAGAACTGCAGCCTTTTCTGGGGTTAGTGACCTCTGAATAAAATAGAGACCCAATGAGCTGTCCTCACATCCCTCCCAGTCCACTCCTAAGGGCCTTGATCTGAAGAGAGCCAGGGACACACCCTACTTTTGTAGGGGTGAATCTTAGCTTTCTCTTTCTTATTTTTCACTTCACCCTTCAATATAAAAATAAGAACAGACTATGAGAGTCAGTGCCTCTGTCTGCTCAGCTGGTAGCTCTGGTGGTGGTTTTTCCAATACCATATCCTTCAGGGACTAGAAGTCATTCCAAATGAGAGCAAAGTCCCATGATGGCCACCAACCTATGTTGCTCTAAAAGCCTTTGCCCACCACCCCAGTTTATTCCTCTTTTCAAGGAATCGCCACCTGGAACCCTTAGCCCCTCCTTTTGCTCTTCTCCCTACTTGTGTTCTCACTCTCTCAAATAAATAAACAAAATCTAAAAAAAAAGTATGGATGTTTGTCAAATGTATATTTCAAAATTTTAATTGTGTAATGCACAGATATTTGCATTATCAAAATGAAACATAAAATGTGAAAGAGGTCCTTCACAACCCTCCCCCTGCCATTCTTTTTGCCTAAATCCTCTAAAGATGACCACTCTGTGCATTTAGGTACATATATTTACTCATGCACCCATATTTAGGTATTTCAGGTGTTGTTTTTTTTTTTTTTTAACATACATGCTATCACGCTGTATGTATTGTTTTGGGGCCAAATTTTTTTTTTTAAGATTTATTTGACAGAGAGAGAGAGAGAGAGAGAGAGAGAGAGAACAAGTGGGGGGAAGGGCAGAGGGAGAGAATCTCAAGCAGATCCCCATTGAGCATGGAGCCAAAATGGGTCTTGATACCACAACCCTGAGATCAGGACCTGATATGAAACTAAGAGTCAGACGCTTAACCAACTGAGCCACCCAGGCGCCCTCTTTGATCCCCCCCTGTTAATGATGTGTCTTTAAGGTCTCTCCACGACAATAGGTGTAGATTCCCTTCATTATTTTTTAACAACTCAGAGTATTTCATTGTTTGGCTGTACAACCGATTTCCCTAATGGTGGGTATTTAAGATCATTTCTCCTTTTTTAAAAATCGTGAATGGGGTTGCCATGAACACCCAGTGCCTACGCCTGGCACACATCTGTCCTACAGCCATAGGGTGGGTTTGTGGGACCGTTGGCTTACAGGGTGTGGATGCTAACATTGTGATCAAGGTCGTCACTCTGTTTTTGAAAAAGCCTTACTCCCCTTCCCTCAACATGAGAGTGTGGAGGCTCATCCCATGGGCTCAGGCCCATTTCCCCACATCTTCACCAGAACCGTGCACCTTCTAGCTTTATCATTTTCGTCTTGCTAACAGGCTCTTGTTAATACCCACTAAACCTCCTGCCTGAGGATCGTTACAATGTCCCACCTTAAACTTCCTGTTCTCCAGCCACAGGGACCACTCGATGGTTCTATAGTGGGATCTGTCCCCTGGAGAACTGTCCCTTAACGGTGAAATCTGGAGCCGTCACCTACATCCACTGTTTAATATTTATCAAGAGCCTGCTGAGTGCTGGGTCCATGCAGCGACCAAGACTTTTGGGAAGACAACATGCAGTGATTTGAAAGGCAGAGATTAGTTAATAAAAATCCACAGCCCCATTCGAGGCCACAGAGGCACCCCTGTTTCCCTGGGCGTCTGTATATTCCGGGTGAAGCAGGCAGGGGTGTGTCCCCCTCTGAGAAGCTGCATTAATATGGCATCTGGTCTCCTACAGGACGTCTGCAGAGTACGACGGAGCTCATCACTTTCCTGTCTATCAGCAATTAAACTGTGCCAGGAAGCCTTGTATCTTTATATCATCCCCTAATGACGTGGGGGTGGGGGGAGGGCAGTGTGGACACAAAGAACCCACACCGTGGTTAATCGGCAAAGTTATCACTTTTCTTCAGGGGCCAAAGGTCTGGTGCATTTCCCATACGTCTCCCCTTGCCAAGCCCGGCAAACACCTGGCTTTGGTCCCCCGTGTGCACCACCTCTGGAATTAAATGTCATTTGCAAAGCCTATAATTGCTTGAGGAGACAGTAGCTTCTTTTTGTCTTTCTCAGACTCGCTACCTTTAACCCTGCCCAATCCCACACCCTGCAACCCCCTCCCCCTGCCCCCAGACTTTTGTTTTCCCAGCCCCATCCCGGGGCCTGTCAGATTACATTTTTTATTGCATCGAGACAAAAAGCCATCTGGAGCTCCTGGTCTCCACTGTCAGTGGGCTGCCGTTCTCAGGGTCTCCTGCCAGGCCCCCCGATTAAGAGGCACCCCCCACCGGCCCTCTCTCTTTATTTTTCACCGCCTGCCCTGGCCCCGCCTCAGCTCCTGTGCCTTTGTCCCTCTGCTCCCCTCACCCTATCACTGGGATACGACTACCTTGTCTTTGGCAGAACAATGCGGGCTGTCAGCTTGTATTAAGCATGTGGGGGAAAGCGCCACAGTTTCAGGAGGCTGAACGCTCCCAGAGTCTTCATGTGTTTCTGGGAGCCTGGAGTGTCTCTCCTGGTCTATCGTAGATTTATGTGAGGCCTCAGCTATTCCTCTTTTCCTTTCTTCTTGGCCTCAAAACTAGGCAGTGCATTAGAGAAGAGCCTCTGTGAACATGGGGAAGGCAAGGACATAGCGCAGAAGCAAACGGGTGGGAGACTCGGCTCTCCCTGGCTCCAGCAGCCCAGCACGGGGGGCAGATCTGTGCAGAGGTCGCCCTGGGCTCACCCTATGTCCCCTCTGGAATGTCCTCGAAGGGCTAGACCCAACCCGTTTCAGGGTCCATATCAGCTCCAAGGAGGATGGAAACTCTTCTTTAAACAAGTCAGCTGTTGGCTTTCAGACCAGAAGCCTGAACAGAACCCTAAAAGCATGAATGTGTCTATTGTTCTCTCCTCTCCTTTGACATTGACCTGAATTTGGCCCCGAGAAGCCTCATCCCGGCACGTAACAAGGGTCTCTGTAGAGGTCTCTCAGCGAATGCCTGTCCATGGATAACACTGCCTTGTCTTTCTGTGAGCACAGGTTCTACTTCTCAAGGGAATGCCATGAGACGGAAGGGAGCTCACAGCTCCCGAGCGCATTCATTTTCTCTGGGATTCTCCCCAAGTCCTATGAAGTGGGTTTTATTTCCTTCATTTTACTCACAAAGGGACTGGAGACTCAGAGTTTAAGAAACGATCTCATGGCCTAGGGACAAGCGAGGAGTCGAGATCTGTCCTCAGATCCATCCAGCGCCAAATCCCGGCCTTCCGCTCCGTGCTAGGCCACTCCCCCATGGCCGCCGGGCGTCTTCATTCATTCCCTAGTAAAGACAGACACTGCACCTGTCAAGTTTGGTCAACAAGTGTTGATTTTCAGAAGTGTTCAATTTTCAGAAATGATCAGAATGCTGGGCCATAAAGCCTGTGTCTTTCCCCAAACACGGAAATTACCCCGAGGCGCGTTTTCTCCCTAGTGATCACAAACCGCCTGGGAGAACAATACAACCTTGCAGTGGGCAAGTAGGGCCCCGAGTCTTCTCACAAATCTTTCCATAAGGAGCCCTGGAGTGGGGGCGGGATGCGGTGTTCACTGGGCCGTCGTGGTGAAATATCGTATGCTCTGCCTTAAACCCAGTTACAGCAGAAACTTTATTTCCGATGAGGTCACGGTAGGAAGACGAAATGGTTGGCAGAGGCCTGCGGATGTGGTCAAAATGAACCGTGTCTGTAGGCATATGTAGGTTTTTCGGACGAGCCCATTGTGAAGGTTAAACCCGTTGGCCGTCTGCGGGCCACTGTTTTTTTCTAAGATGAGACGGTCTCAGTAGAACGGTTTTTAAGGTTCCATGCAGACTCAACATGCTGTGATGTGTTTCCACATCAGGGACCACCGAGGACGCAGTAAATTATGATTACGTATTAAAACAGCAACAGCAATTTAGTGAGCCACTTGCCACGTGGCAGGCTCTGCTCTCTGCCATTTTCTTCTTCACAATGATCTCCTGAGGTTGATGTTCTCATCATTCCCATTTTTGAAATGAGGAAATGGAGGGGCTCCTGGCTGGCTCAGTCAGGGGAGCACGCGACTCTTGATCTTGGGGTTATAGTTTCAAGCCCCAAGTTGGTGATAGCGTTTACTTTAAAAAAAAAAAACAAACCCTTAAAAAATCAATAAATAAAATGAGGAAACTGGAGATCAGAGAAATTGAGTAGCTTGCTGGAGGTCACACAGCTAATACACAGCAGAACCAAGACTTGAACTGGGTGGCTTGGCTCCTGAGCTCCAGCTTTGGGCTGTGGTCCAGTGGCTAATATCACCACATGGAGCTCACAGCCCTCCCTGGCCTCCTGCCCCAGACCTCTCTAGTGGTCACACAGAGAATCACTGAAAGCTAGTTGGTCAGGTAGCAAATTAAAAGAAGACAGCATGAAAGGTACGACAGTCACTTGAGACTTGTCTCAGTCCCTTCTCTGATTTCAAGGTGAGGTCGTAGGGTCTAGGATCTCTTAATTCTAATCACTTTCATTGCACTTGGATGACTGTACCTGCTAACTGGTCCCTTACAGGTTTGCAGAATCAGGTCCAGAGCAGGGAGCACTGGTCTGGGAGTCTGAAGAACCAGGCTCTCGAATTGGCTCTGCTTCTAACCAGCTGGGTTAGCTCTGCAAGTTTCCAGCTTCTCCGCGCCCCATGGATCTTATTTGCACCCAGGCTGGTAGATTAGATCAGTGTCACAAATCCCAGGTGTGGGGGCCAAAGCGGCCCCCCGACAGGTTTTGCTAGTATGCACGGTGATTTTCTTTTTTGTTTAACTGCCGACACAGAGTGTTCACATGAAAGCCCGGGTCTCCAGAATCTAGCAAAAACCAGGAAGATCTGAAGGATTTGAGCTCCCCTTCCCACCAGGAGACAATGAGTAGAGGACGAGGCCTCATACCCTCTTGAGAGCTCTGTGGGCCCCACCCCACCCTGGCTTCTCTTTGCTTCTCCGCCCCCATCCCTCCCTAACCCCCCAGCTGGTTTTGCAGCCTCTGGGTGCCATGTCACCAAGGTTTGTCCCATCTAACTGATTCAGGTGTCACAGGGGCTCCTCTGATCTCTGTAATTCGGCAGGGCAGGAAAGCGCCCCCTTCCTGGATGACCCCATACAGCGGCCACTAGGATGGGCTCAGTCACTGCCCAGTACAGAGACAGTCACAGCCCCAGGAGAACTGGGGAGCTGTGCGCTTTGTGTCGCCGCCATGGTTGCTGGTAGGCAGAAAATCAGGAGAAAACACTCAGGACTTCTTTCTTGTTCTTTTTCAGCACTGGGTCTCGCCTTGACACCCCCGCCCTCCGGAAGAGGGGTCATGCCCAGGCACTGGATAGACTCCGGTGTGGATTTCCAGAATCCCTTTTGGACACACGTC